ATGAGACATACCCAACTCTAAAAACAAATTAAGCTAAAAGTAAAGGGTCGGCAAAAAATTCTACAAGCAAATGGACCTCTAATAAAGACAGCAACAGACATCCTTAAAAAGACAACCTGGATTTCTGGTTTAAAAAGGTAACAAGAGAAAGGGAGACAGCTTGAGGATAAGCAGGTATCCTGGGGCTCTTTTTCTCCTTGCTTTAAAAAAAAAAAACAATGTGAAGGGGTGCAATGAGGTGGTGGGGACCGTGGAACTGAGAGTGGAATTTCATCCAGGCTCACACAATAAACTTTTGATTTTTTTTTCTAAAAGGAGACCCCTCTCGGAGAGATGGCAGGGATTTTCACTCCAGATCTCTCACATTTGCCTATGGGTGGGCTCTTTGTGTGGGATCAGAAATAATCCATCTTGTGGAAGTGACAGTTCAAACCCCACCTAGGCAAATAAAAAAAAAAACATAAAAAAAGGTAACAAGATACGTGGAATGATAAAGGAAAGGATACATCAAAGTATATAATACTCATCAATATATATGTACCAAAATACATTAGGCAACCACTTGACAGGTAACCACTCTGAAAACACAGAGAAAAAATAAATTTTAAGAGACGTCAACACCCAACTCTCACCAATGGACAGATCAAATAGGAAGAAGATAAAGAAGAATACAATAGCTTTAAATAGAGAATTTTAGACCTCTTGGACTTAAAAGGCATGCAGAGCATTGCAGCTGCATAAAGCCGAATGTAAATTTTTCTCAAGTGTAAAGGGACATTCTTCAGAAAAGATCATGACTTGGAACACAAAATAAATGTCAATAACAGAAACAAATGTTGATAATTACATGAGTTGAAATAATACCCAGCATCTCTTCAGACCATACAGGTATCCAAAAAGAAACCAAGTAGCAAAACAAAACAGAGAAATATTTTAACAGAGGGAGACTTGAGAGCACACTACTGAAACATCACTAGATTAGTGAGGAAGTCAAAGGAGACATGAAAAAAAAATAACTTGAGATAAGTGGAAATGACTACACAAACATCCAAATTTTATAGACTGCAGCAAAAAAAAATTACTAAGAGGGAAATGGATAGCAATAGAGACCTATATCAAGAATCATAGAAACACTCAAATTAAAAACAACAACTTTCTCTCACAACTTGAGGAAATAGGAAAAGAAAAACCAATTCAAAAGCCAGTGGAATAACGGAAGCATTAAAAATTGAAGCAGAAGTAAATTCATTAAAGAGGAACTCAAAGGACAGTCCAAAAGATCAATGAAACCAAAGCTGTGTTATATAAGAGATAAATAAAATAGAAAAATACCTAGCAAGCTCACCAAGAAAATAAGGGAGATATCTCAAATAGTATAAAAAATAAAATAAAGAAATCACAACAGATGTTGCAGAGATTAGAGAATAATTAGATATACCCATGATCATCTATATGGAAACAAAATTAATAACCTAGAAGAGATGGACAAATCCTTACAATTACACACTCATCTGAGACTGAGTAGGGAAGGAATAGAAAACCTGAGCAAACTCATCATGAGTAAAGAAATTGAATTAGTAATCAAAACTCTCAAAACAAGAAAACAAAAAAAAAACAAGAGTCCAGGACCAGAGGGCTTCACAAGTGAATTAAAGTAATATTCAAAGATGAAAATGATACCTATATTGCTCAAAAATTAAAAAGAAGGAATATTTTCAAGTATGGGCTAAACTGGTTTATAGTTATTTCTTTTAGTTTTCACTTTATTACAATTACTTTTTATCCCACTGATCCCTTACACTCCTGCTATGGGTACAACCATCTGCTGTTTTTTTTTTTCTTTCACTAAACATGATCCTTTCTGCGGAGTGGGGGAAAGAGGGGAATAGGATCCAAACAAGTCTGGGAAGAAGCACACATGACTATGGTAATGAGTCATGGGTAAACTGGTGGTGAGAAGACCACAAGAGTTGCAACTGAAATGAAAAAGCCTTGTACAAAAATGATGAATGTTGCAAAAAAATTAAATAAATAAAATCCTGTCTTTTCTAAAAACAAAATTAAAAAAAAAAAACACCAAAAACTTTACTTAATAAAAGCAAAACAACTGGAGATAAAGAAGAATAGCATTTAATATACTAGGATCCATTTCCATTAAACCTACAGCTCATATCATTCTCAATTATGGAAAACTGAAAACTTTTCTACTAATATCTGGCACAAGTCAAAGTTGCTCACTCACACCATTGCTAGTCAACAGAGAATTGGAGTTTCTAGCTACTATATATATATATATAAGAATCCAAATTCAAATATATTTTGCAGTTTGCATGATAATATACATAAAGAATCTTTATGATTCCACAGGGAAAAACAATAATGAATACTATCAGTTTAGCAAAGTGGCAAGATATAAATTCAAAACACATAAATCATTTGCCTTCAGAAGAGGAAGATGCTAAGATTCTGATCCCATTTATAATTAAGAAAGTGATTCCATTTACAATTAGACCAAAAATATTAAATACTTAGGGTAAACCTAAGAAAGGAGGTAAAAGATCTATACAAAGAAAACTGAGACATTTTGAAAGGATTATTAAAAGACAAATAGAAATGGAAAAATATTCCCTGTTTATGGATTGGAAGGACTAACATTGTCAAAATGGTCATTCTATTGAAAGAAATATACAAATTCACTGAAATCCCAATAAAAAATACCAATGGCATATTACTCTAGCAAATGCTATTGAAACTCATATGTTATCACAACAGATCCCAAATAGCAAAAGGAATTTTGGCAAAGAAGAACAAGAATGGGGATATCACACTTCCAGTCCTCAAACTATATTTATAAAGCCACAACACTTAAAAGAGAAGCAAAACTAAATGCACAGACCAATTATATAAAATTGAGAGCCAAAAAGTAAACCTGCATATATATGGAAAGCTAATCTATGACAAAAGAGCCAAATACACACACACACACACACACATACACACGCACCCTGGAACAAGGATTTCCTCTTCAATAAATGGTATTGGGAAAATTGGACAGCTGAATGCATAGAATAAAACTAGACAGCAACATCATGTCCTACACCTAAATCAACACAAAATAGATCAGACTTGGATGCAAAACCTGAAACCATGAAATACACAGAAGAAAATATAGGCAAAATAATTTAATTACATAAGCTTTAATGATGCCTTTAGGGGTTTTTCTCCAATAGCAAGGAAAACAAATGGTAACATAAAGAGCTAGGACTGCATCAAACTAAAAAGCGTATGTTTAGTGAGGGTAACCATAACTAAAATGAAAATTTGCTCTACTGAATGGGATAAAATATTGGCATATTAAACATTCTACAAAGGAATGATATCAATGTTGTACAAATAACTCAGAAAACCACGAAAACAAAACAATCCACTCAATAAAAAGGAGTTAAATGTACAAAATGCATACCTCTCCAAAGAAAACATTCAAATGACCAGCAGGTGCAAGAAAAAATGTTCACAATCACTTATTAGAGAAATGCAAATCAAGACCACAGAGAGATACCTTCTTACAACATTGAAAATGGCCCATATTGATAAGACCAGAGACAACAAGTGCTGGCAAGAATGTAGAGAAAGGGGAACACCCCTACACTGCTTATGACATGCAAAATGGTCCAGCCCCTTATGGAAAGCAGTATGAAGATGGTATCTCATAACATTAAACATGGATCTGCTATTTGACCTAATAATTGCACTCCTAGGCATCTATCCAGAAAACTTTAAAACAACTAAGTTGAAAGAAAACATGTTTATTGCAGCACTATTTACTATAAGTAAACTATGGCAACAATTTAAGTACTTCAGAACAAATGCATGGACCAAGGAGATGTGGTATATACACACAATGGAATACAACACATTGATCAAAAATAAACTCATGCAATTTTCAGCAACATGGATGGAACTTCATAGGATAACACTGAGTGAAATAAGTCAGATGGAGAGAGATAAATTTTGGATGGTATCACTAATGTGTGGAATATAAAGCAAAGTAATAGTCAGAAGTTGTAAAACTAATATTTAATGGCTGAATGGCTGATCACAGAATTGAAGTACCATGGTGGGAAGAAGATGAGAGAAGGGGAAGAACAAAGAAGAAAGCACAGTGGTCTGTGTTGGAGGAATATAGGTGGTGGGTACACTAAGGTGGTAATAGTGGGTAAGGGTACTCCAATATTATCTGAGGTAAAAAATACAAATTACAAAAAGAACACACCAAGTTCATACTTAGTGTTGCTACAAGTACTTTCATATATAGGAGGATATTCAACATAAAACATGGAGAAATCACTCAACATGCTTTACAACATGACTGTGCCAGAAATGTGGAAGACAGGCTTACTGAAGAGCTTTTGACTCCATTGGTTACAGGTCCACGTGGCAATGATGTTTCATCCATCTGCTTTTCTAAAATAGTTCACCACCAAGAAGAATCAATCAAATTATAGTTTTGGATACTTAAATACCAATTCACTTATTTCCCATGATTCATATGTTTAGTCTTTAGTCTAAATGTGAAGTTTTGACATTCTAATAATCAGTGGATATTATATCTATTGAAGTTTGTCATATAATATATTATGGAATGTCTCTAGCACTAAGTGCTTAAGTGGAACAAAAAAGAAAGAAAGAAAGAAAGAAAGAAAGAAAGAAAGAAAGAAAGAAAGAAAGAAAGAAAGAAAGAAAGAAAGAAAGAAAGAAAGAAAGAAA